GTCGAGCGGGGTAGCCAGAGCAGGAGCAGCGGGACAGGCGAGGGAGCAGCGGTAGGTGCAATGAGGCGGGCGCGCGCAGCAGCGGCAGGAGCAGCGCGGAGCAGTTGTAGGAGCACCGGCGGCGGAGTGGGAGCAGCAGCAAGTGGGGCGGGCGACAGGAGCAACGGAAGGAACATGGGGCGCGAAGCAGAGCGGGATGGGCCCGGTGCTGCGCCGCCACATTGGAGAAGGCTGCGGCGAGCGGACCCCGCAGTGGAGGCTCCCGTGATGGTCACATGCATGGGGCTCTATAGAGGAGCTCGCGGTGGTCGCTTGCGAGCGGCGGTGGGGAAGGATCGCATGCGTGTGGTGGGTGGGTGGGTGGGTGGGGGAACAGAAATGTCGCTGGTTTTTTTTTTGAGAGACCATACTAATGGTGGAGCTGAGCAGACCTATTGAGCCCGATGGCTACACAGGTCTGAGAACAGGGCGTCCGGACGAATGCTCTAGGACGGACGTCCTCACCAGATCATTATGGAATCACAAAACGATACCGTGTAGTACTAAGTACTAACTGAATTTCCAGTCCAGGCAGAATGCAGAATTAATACAAAAATCAATGTAAAGTAGGAATCGATCCTCTTAACATTTCAATTCGAACTTAATTTCTGAAACAGTTTCTTCTAGCAAAGAAATTCAGTTGATTTAACTCTCCAAATAAAGAACTTTTCGTATTATGATTGACGGCTGGCTAAGGGAGCCGCAGAGATGAGCTAATGGTGGCAATGGCAGCCCCGGCCACAACCCGGCTTTGCCTTGTGTTCATCACCCCTGAAACATATCGAGGCCGGCACGTCCTTCAGGTACTTGGACGCAGCCAGTGCGACTGCGGCCGCCATCGAGACGGCCCCGGACGAACGGACCCGCTGGCAGAACTCGCCGGAGCCCTTGCAGACGCCACGTCGACCCTGCGACGGCCGCAGGTGCCGAAGTCGTCCACGGAGAACGACAGCGCCGAGCCGCCGCCGACGAGTAGAGCAGCACCTGCGCCGCGGTGTCGACGAGCTCGCACAGCGACTTGGCCGCCTTGCTTTCGTACGCGTGCACCTTGCCGCGCGCGTCGTCAGCCACGCCGCCGCCGCCGCCGCCGTCTGTAGCGCAGCCGATATCACGTTGGCGACTAGACATAGACAGTAACTGCGTGCACAGCCGTCCACGTACCATGATCAGCTCAGCAGTGGTGTCATGGCGTCATGCGAGGAAGAAGAATGGATGGAGCGCGTACGGCGTACCTAAGGGAGATGTAGTCGCTGTAGGAGACCTTGCTCTCCGTCGCCGGAGAGCAGCCGGTGCAGGACCATTGGGAGGCGGAAGCCATCATGGCCGCCGACGCCGCCGAGAGCGCCACGGTGGTGATGCGAGGGCGAGGCTGGCCGCGTCCAACGACAGGTCGGAGTTGCCACCGCCAGCCATGGTTCAGAGAAATCAACGAGCATTCGCACATCCACATCCACCACGTCTCTCATGCACATCACGGATTAAACGCATGGATATGCAAAGCTAGTAGTTGAACCTAACAAAATCATAATAAAGCACAAGCAACCTCTAGTTCTTCTAATTATGGAACCTGCATTTTGTATTTATCTCTAATTACTATTGCTAATGATTTTTAGCATTCAATATACTACCTTCCTATCTAATCCTTGAATGGATTATGAAAATGATTTAAAACTTTTATAAAAATAGTACACACAAGATATATATTTTTTATATCATGAGTAGAAAAAAAATAGCAGAGATATTTTGAGGACCATGTATGGGCTGGCATGACGCAAAGTTGTGCCAGCATTGCCATGGGCTATTTTTGGACGAAGAAAAGATTTTTCGTACCATGTCGGTACGGCCCGACGTGCCTCGCATGCCTAGAGGGCATGACCCAAAGCGGTACCAAGTGGGAGGACCATGCCGTGTCCCATTTCTAGCAGTGAGGCTAGCTGGCTAGGCCACACATTTGTAGAAAGAATATAAAAATGTATTAGATAGTTTTATGCGGTGGATTGAGGTGGTCAGGCGAAGGGCAAAGTCCTCGACTTGCTCACCTGGCTGAAAGGCGAGGCCTTCTGACTCCCCTCGGAGGCTCTGCAACGTCGCCCGGCGCACGCGATCTCCGCCGACGCATGCTGCGGCGATCGCTTCCCACGCTAGTTTCGTGGTAGCCTTGTTGGCGAGGGAGGCGCCAAGCTCGGTGGGGACGGTAGCGCACAGGGCCTCCAGCGCCCGGCGATCGTCATCGTAGCTGACGCCGCCGACGTGTACCGCCTCCCACAACTGCCGAGCCTACAACTTGACCTTCATCAGCAGGCTCCACTCATGGTAGTTCGTCTTGGTGAGCATCGGCCATGGCGTGCCCGCTCCGGAGTCGCGGTAGATCGTCTGCAGCACCGGGGAGCGCCCGCGGCGACCACGACGCCGCTCTGGTGACGGCGACTGGCAGCGATGCCCGATCGGACTACGCGACCCTCCTCCCGCTCCATCTCGGTGCGCAGTGCCGCAGCGGCAGCCACCGCGGCTTGAGCCACAGCCGCTGCCTGCTTGGCCATCTCGGCCGCTGCCTCTGCGGCAGCAAGGCGCGTCTCGCGATCTCTGGCTTCGGCTCTTGCTGCGTCACCACCGGGGTTGATCACCGCACTGGCGGCGGCGCGCACTCTCTCGATCTGGCTATCGGTGGATATGGCGCTCACTCGCTCAAGAACCCTAAGCTCTAGATACCAATTGTTGGCCAAAAATATATCTCAGATTCAGATTTGGGGAACTATCAGAGGGCAGCTTGTCCCTTGGCCGCTTGTATTGAAAGGAAATGCAATGGCTTGTCCTGATACAAGGGTGTGTCCCTGCTCTTATGGGCAGAGGGCAACATCTACTTTCTACTTGCTTCAGCATATTTTCTAACCACTAAAGTGGATGCTAAGTATATTTCTATTACAAAGGCTTGGAAGCCAAGAAAAGTAAAATGCAGAAAAGTAAGATACAAGTGCTGCTGAGCACTATGCTTATCTGTCAGAAAGAAGCTGCTAGCATATAGTGCATAGGCTCCTTTAGGCTTACAAAGAAATTTTATGCTCTCCCTGTCAGCAATTATCACTGATCAGGTCCGAATAGGTTTACTCATTTCGGCTGTCCTGAAAAATTCTATATAAAGTATTTGATCTTTAGCTTTAGGAATACTATGTATTGATTTTAAGTCTCACAGACAATTTTTTCAAGCAGTAATCCATAAAACCATTTCAATCAGTTTGTAGTCTTAAATGTTAAGTGTACTAATTATTGATCAATCTGCATTACCATCCGCTGAGACATGCTCTAACTCAAATAGTCAGATATTAGGTTTGTTGTCCTGCAAGTAATTGTTGTCATGTCAGATACTCCATTTTTCCAAACTATAAGTCGTTTTTAGTTTTTCTAGGTACATAGATTTTGTTATCTCAGTGCAAAGCAAAAGCTATTTACATAGAAAAGCCAAAACGACTTATCATTTGGAACCAAGGGAATACAATCTTTGGTGCTTTGGAGCTGAATTATTGTCTTACCGTTCTTTGATGCCACAGAAATACTTGCACTAAGATCTTATGTGTTTACCAACTTATAAGCAGTTTGGGCTACTGAAAGAATAAATTTACAGTGACAAATTTATCTGTTTTGTCTGGTGCCAGCAGCCTGTTTTTGGCAACTAACATAATTTGGTTGGTTTGAAGGTGGTGGATTCGGATCCTTTGGTTGTAATCAAGGAGCTGGGTTCTCAGACAAGTTTATGCATTAGCTATGGCTAGATGCAAGAGGCCTCGGAGATAAGTTCAATTGTGATGTCACAAAGTTACTTTTATGTTCCACTCTTCACCTGTATATATAGACTTGTTAGGCAGACCTGCCCGTGTATCCGTTAAGCGTTGCTATCAGCATAGTTGCAGGCACAGCCGCACAGCAATCAGAGCTTGAGGCCATAGCTTGAAAAAGTGTGGAAACCTTCGTCCTACGCGGAGCTGTTGCAGACACATGACCGGAGGCTGCCCTGGATGAGCCCTCGCTTCGCTCCATCTTTTTGATGATGGAGGCTACCATTTGGGCAGCTTATTGTTATCTCTTCTTTTGCAAAACACAGCAGATGCCCACAGCAGCATCGACGGTTGGTCTTGGATTCCTGCGGGTTTCTCTCCACTCCAGGGCTACCAACTTGCTAAACTCAGGCTCCATGGCTGCATGAAATGAAAAAAGAGGTCGTCTAAAGGCCCTTGCTTGAACGTGATTCCTCCTCCAGCTTTGTCAATAATACAATTACGGCGGCACGGAACGTGCAGCATCTTTGTAATATTCCCGGCCTGTACACGGCTCTCCCAAATTGTAAGCGGCACAAGGAACGTCTTATTCAAAAAGTAAAATATCACCTCTGTCATGTAACGAACAAAATTGACATATTTGCACAAATTTTTTTAATAAGACCTGCTGGTCAAATTGTACATGGTACTGTTTTGTAGTACCATTTTAGCTAACCGGGCAATCTGAACATGCCTGAAAGTTCAGTTTTCGTGTGGTATTGTATCAGAAACGGTTTCTGTGTTGGACTTGACTCATAGCTGCACTGAAAAATAGAGGTCACTGGGGAGTGGGGAATGGCACCGTTACATTCACAAGATCCGCTTAGTACAAGGTTCTACTAGTATGCATGTAGGTTTCGAGGATCAGGCATGGATGAGATTACAATCCGTGTAAACTATGCTTGAAAGTTGAAAGAGACAAATCAAAGATGAGCATGGACTTTGGCCGAAACACTTGGCTCCTGTAGAACAACAAGGCGGCATTGCCATTGCAGTTGCAGGTTGCAGCACTTACTACCAATTGCCTTTTTGCATCGCATATAAGTGAACACTGTGCTCATAAATTCCTTCAGCAGTAGTAGTACTGTAGTACGCTGTCGGCGGTCGGATATACTCGATCTCCTCAAGTCTCAAGTCTGATGCATCAACAGATCAGATGGAGTAGTTAAACGGAGGCGCCATTGTTGGCGTGATCTTGCCGTTGACGATGTGGTGGTTGTCGTCGTCCATGTAGCGCTTCCAGAACCAATGTTGTTTCCACACCCTTTCGGTCATCTCCTCGATGGGCACGTTCTTGGTCTCCGACAGGAAGAAGAGGACGAAGAGCGACATGACGAGTACCCAGGCGGAGAAGAAGACGAAGATGGCGTACTTGAGGTGGCAGAGCATGGAGAGGAAGGCCTGCGCGATGACGAAGGTGAAGAGCAGGTTGACGCAGACGGTGACGCTCTGTCCCGCCGACCTCGTCTCCAGCGGGAAGGTCTCGCTGGGGATGAGCCAGCCCAGGGGCCCCCACGACCAGGCGAAGGAGGAGACGAAGGTGCAGACCATGACGACGACCATGATGGCCCATCCGTGTCCCACGTTGTCGGAGTGGTCCGTGACCTTGATGCCCAGCACGACGGCGATGGCCACCTGCGACAGGAACATCTGCACGCCGGCCTCCAGGAGCAGCATCCGGCGGCCGACGCGGTCGACGGAGTAGACAGACACGAGCGTGGAGAGCACGTTGACAGCGCCCGTGATGACCGCCGAGTAGAGCGACGCGTCGCTCTTGAACCCCAGCGTGTTGAACAGCACGGGCGCGTAGAACATGATGGCGTTGATCCCCGTGAACTGCTGGAAGATCTGGAGAAGCACGACGATGACGAGCTGCGGCCGGTTGCGGCGCTGGAGCAGGTTGCGGAACGGGTGCTTCACCTCCTGCGCCACGCGGCTCGCCTCCACGATCTCGTTGAACTCCGGCTCCACGTTGTCGGTGCCCCGGATCTTCTTGAGCACGGCCTTGCCCTCATCCAGGCGCCCGCGCTCGATGAGGCTGTTGGGAGTGTCCATCACGAAGAGCGCGCCCAGGGTGAGCAGCACCGCCGGGATGCCCGCCAGCGACAGCGACAGCATCCATCCCCACGGGTGGATCTTGGAGGTGCCGTAGTTGACGAGGTTGGCGAAGAGGATGCCGATGGTGACGTTGAGCTGGAACAGGATGTTGAGCCCGCGGCGGCTCCTCGTCGGCACGATCTCAGACAGGAACAGGGGAACCGCCTGCGCGGAACGAATGGGACGGCAAAGTTATCGTCAATTGTGATACAGTAGAATGTCGCGAGTATCGTCGAGTTCTTCAACTAGTTTTTGCCAGGCCCAGTACCACACCGATACGGCCATAGCAAGAAGAGACGCGGCCTCATCGATGCCCATTGGGCCGAGTTGTCTTCAGAAAATGCCCATTGGGCTGATATTTTTCAAAAGAAAAAATAATTATTGGGCCCTAACGACTTGGTCGTTTGTTCTCTTCTTTGCTACTTAACAAACAGGGAATGAGAACCCAACTTGGGTTCAGCGGTTCAACCAAACATATCATTCATCAATGGAGATGCACACCAGTTCTAGTCTAAAGTCTCAAAATACTCTAAAGTGTAAGAAGAAACTAGTTTAAAAGTCTCAAAATATTAATGGCACGCATGACCATCACCCACCCCCTGAAGATGTGTACAAACAACCGAAACTGGTGTCAGAGCGGTTGGTGCACCCGTGCATACATCCTGCAGATATTTCCGACCGTAGCAGTTGAAGTGTTGAAACCTAAACGCCCGTATTCAGATATACTCATCTGTTATCTGTAACAGCATGCCATGTCTAGGACAAATATATGTCCCCTCCTACGCCTGCTGATCGTAGGCCTCCATCAAGCTCATTTGTTTTCCCTAAAAGCTGCTGAATGTACAAACTTACCACATGAACACTGTCCCAGTCCCGCCTGCTCTAACATAATTGCGCTGTGCATGTCCTATACGTTGGCTTGGACCGGAACACGCCCGCATGAGCATGATTTGCAATAATCCAGCGGTAGGCGATAGGCATCTTGCCGCCGCCGCTGCCAATGTTTAATCCGCAAGCGAAAGTTCTTCGGGAGCCCCGGAAGACCTCAGGAATCTGGTGGTTGTGGCTGCAGACGCAGCCAAACCACGTACTAGTGGTAGCCTGACAGGAACGAGAGCAGAAGACTCCAAGCAAACTATGCTTGTTGAAGTCAAGGTGTCTAGCAATCAGCCAGTAAGGCTGTGCAGGTAATTTCCTGCCGAACTACTGGTACTAGTTACTGCATGCATCGCTATTTGTGGCCCGTGTGGTCTATTAACATGGCTACTTAGTACTAGAGTCAATTAACATGGTGGCTTGCTCAATGTTGCAGATTCCTCCGTCGTTTCTGTTGATGGCAAGTTGGCAACTGGGACAGCTAAAGATCGAGCAGGTAGCATCGTAGCAGCAGCAACAAACGTTTAGCACCATGTTCGTTTGACTTATAAGTCGTACTTTTTAGCTAACGAATAATATTTTTCTCTCACAACAAATCGATCAATAATACTTTCGGCTATGGCTTATCAGCCAAGCGAACAGGACAAATCATTGCGATAACGTGGTTAACTACTCTCACGCACGAGCAAACTTGAATGAATATATTATTACTATAGAAACTCAACTTGCACAAATGATGCGGAGTTGATACGGTACGTAGTCGATCGTTGACTTGGACTCGGTATATACACATGCCAGTCATATCGATCAGCATGGTGGCGCCTTTTGGTTTCCAGGCACATCAATCATTAACCATCTTGTTAATAATCATTTCCACTGCAACACGCAAACAATATTCGTTTTTATTTTTCCATTTGACGATATAAAAGAACTTATATTGTTTCTTCACCAAATGAGCTTTGAGTCTGATAATTCGGCCTATTGCTGGATATATCACTACTACAGAATGGACTTGTTGTCCCGGGCGGTAATGGCCTTTAGTCCCGGTTACCGCGCCGGGACAACGATCCCGGATAGGTGCCACCTTTAATTCAACCGGGACTAAAGGCCCTCGAAACAACGTACACCTTTAGTCCGGTTGATAACCCCAACCGGGACTAAAGGTTCCTTTTCAAAATTGAGTTACACGTATTTGTTTAATATATAATATGTTTTTATGTACGTATTCTACGCTGCTAATTAAATACATGCACGCATATAATTACATCTAATTCTCATCTCGAGCATTATTATATTGAATAAAGTATGAACCTATATATATTATAGATATATATATGTATATATACAACACTTTCATAATCTTGTTCTGAAAATAATGATATCAATAAATATTTAATTTACATCATTTATTCCTTAGGATCAAAGTCTCGCCGTTGGGATTTAGCACTTTTCTAGAAGATACTATTGACTGAATATTTAGATGGTCTTTTGCATGACCCTTCGTTTCAACCATTCAGTCTTGCATTTGAAATAAAAGGAAAAGTATTAATACATATATATATATATATATTCATTTAAAAATAAATAAAAAATTGATATAACTTCGAGGACATCTTTATGAGTTCTTCTGCCAGATAAATTCACAAATAGTATCCACACAAGTTATTACCGGTTCTCGCCGCAAACACCATTGTCACGAGAAGAAGATTATTCTCATCATCTCACACGTAAATTGAAGTACGATATAGTAATTAAACACGTGGGGAAGTGTATATAGTACAACTTACATTGGTATTTCAACTACATTAAGTGGTGCCGTGCAATCCTTACGATGTTGCCGAATAAACTCTTTCCCAAACCCTATGCGACCAACCAACGATCGTTAATAAATTAAAAAGTCTATTCAATAATAGTTGTGCGTGAGAGATCGAAATTTACCCCGGATAATGTCTATCATATCTTGGTATAGTGCCCGCTCTTTTTCAACGAGTCAAAGATTACTAACCGTTTGAGTTTAACTCAATGACAATGAGTATCCAGTGCGAAACGTATTGGTTTATACAACATACATGCATATAAGTTGTATTGATATTACATAAAATGTAGACTACATTATTATTAACACTTACTCAAAGTCAGACGGAAAAGTATTGTTGTCTTGTCATGTCGCTTCACGAAGAACATCATGATATTAGCGGTTTAGAGATACCCACCGCTCCTTGACAATAATATCGGTTTTGAATACGATATAAGGATCAATGAAGCCAACACCGTGTCTTGTATTCTTTTGGAGCTCGACATCTAGAATCAGTATATAAATATAAGTTACATGTGAGGATACGCATGGAAGTGAGTTTATTAAATAAAAGTAAGAATCACTTTCAAACAAAAGGAGCTAATGATTGATTTGTCTAGAGCTTCCAAGTGAAATAGTTGACGCAATTCTTGAAACTAATATGTAAGATGTCATCGCCACGGAAGTAATGATGGTCTCTAAATCGACAAAGATCCACCTTTGCTCACCCTCGCCACACACGTTGCATGTACCACTTGTTGAGCAAGTACATTTATGCATCCAATTCATTCAGAAAATGACTTTTGCCATATTTATAAGTCTTCTAGGTATCAACTTCCGTGTTCGGATTGGAGCTTTGCCCGTCAATTGATCCAAGGTTAAACCAAAGATCTTTAAAAAGCATTAAGGGCTTGAACCGACACTTCTCGAGAGTATCCGGTCGATAGACTTCTATGTTGGAACTATATTCATTAGCAACAACAAGATTTTTCATTAGTTGCTTCTGTTGTCCGAGCTGTGGGACATCCTTCCCTGATGCTCTTTTCCTTTTCTTACCGCATCATGTGACTTCACGAGGGAGCGGTCATAGTCCGATAGTGGCGAAGGCTTACGAAGTTCAATCATCTTTTTCTTGTGAGCAGTCCCAAAGACCTCTCGTGGTAGGTAAAAGTATGGCTTCTCCTTAAGCTTCGCTTGACTCTTGTTTTTGTATCTATAAAAAATCTTTTACTTTTTTGTCTTCTTCACCTGCTATTTGCTCATCGGTCTTTTAAGGAAGTATTTCTGAGAAATAACTCTTTTTCTCGGGGTCTTCTTTGTCACGGGACCTTAGACCAGGTCATTTGTGGAGGGGTGTGGGCGGTGTTGGAGACCGGCGTGGAGGCGATGTGGCGGTGTTGGTGGAGATCGGCGTGGAGGCGTTGGAGATCGTTGTGGGAGGGGCGGGGCGGTGTAGGTGTTGGAGATCGCCAGGAGGCGATGGGGCGGTGTAGGAGTTGGCGATCGCCGTGGGGATGAAGTCGTCTCGCCCCCATGACGCACTGTGATGAGATGGGGAATGAATGATTAGGCTAGGCTGGGGAGACCCTGCTACAAAAAACAAGTTGTGTGTCAATTATTTTTGAAGTCAATAGAAAATTAATGGAAAATAATATTTCATTCACTTTCATTCGTACCTAGGGTTAGGTAGGAGAAGCGGTGGCGCCCCAGGAATGATGATGAAGCGTTTGCGCCATTGAATAAATATCTTTTCTGCTTCTCCTAGTGTCTTCTCCCCATCGAAGCATAATTATAATTAATTCAAATTAATCACCTACACTTCTTTCCTAACTATTTAAACTTCCAAAAATTGAATACAAACTGCAAAATATGTCACTTTGAAAAAGTTTCCCCAAAAAACATGGTTTGTTTGGAACACGCTTTAAATTAAAATATCACTGGTACAAAAATGAAATTTCTGTATTATCGGTACATGCTGATATTTAGCGTGTATGGTGAAAAAAAGTTCATGAACTTGAATTTGATCTGCCAGAACTTAATGAACGCGCACCAGCCCAGGACGAGTGGGTAAAAGTCCCACAGTAACCAAACCCTAAAAATCTATCCTATTTTCACCCCTCCTCTTCCTTCCCAAGCTACTGCTGTTTGCTCTCCCAGCGGCACGCCAAGCTCTCAAACGCTATGTCCTCAATTTTTTACTATTTTGTACTGTTTTTTATATGAAATAGCTTAGACATATTTTACTTGGTTTTCTCTATGAATTAATGACTTTTTATATAAATTTTGGCTGAAAATTTCTTCTATATCACTACGGGATACACGAGCTTTACCGAGTGGCACTCGGTAAAGCTCCAAAAACACTCAGCAAAGTGTTTGCCGAGTTACACTCGGCAAATGTTTTAACGGCAAAGAGCTGTTTGCCGAGTGTCAAACGTCGGGCACTCAATAAAGACTATGCCGAGTCCCAAAAAACACTCGGCAAATATTTTTCGGGAAAAAATAAAAAAAATAAGTCGCCGGCCACCACCACCACCACCACCACCACACCCGCCACCACCACGCCCCGCCGCCGGCCACCACCACGCCGCCCGCCGGCGCGCTCCTCCCTACCGGATCTGCCATCGGAGGGCACCTCCCCACCGGATCC